GGCTTATACTACTGAAAGTTTATCATGTCAACATGAATAATGGAAAAAGAAACAATTAGCATAATTTGAATGGATTCATTTTGCTGTAGTTAATGTAAGAGGTATGCGTCTAGATTAGTGGCCCGGGCTCTGACTCCAGTTACATGATATGATTGATTGCTATTAGTAATATACATATCACCAATCCTCATATAAAATCATTGACTTAACTCGTGTTACTGTATAACGGAATTAAATCAGTCAAATACGAGAATGGATTTCGAATACGTATATTTCATACAACCGTTGATCCAGACAAAAGATTGGAGAAGCGAAGAGAAGAGAGCGAAGCGAAACGTGCAGCGGAGTAGGCGTGTGAGCCAACTCAATTTAATTAAGCGTTAATCAATATATGTAGCCAGATAAAAGTAGGTTTCAGACATATGATGAATAGGATAAGAGGTGTACACACATATACACTAATATAAAAAACAATCAAGGTTAATAAGTGAATAATTAACAAGGTCAAAATGTGACTCAAGAAGAATGGATAAATTGGTTTGCTCAGAAGCTAGGATAAGTTATATGTGGTTAACATAGTAACCGATACTACGCTAGCGATTAATAAATTTTCTTGCAATAGTTTACATCATGAACTGATTCTAGTTAAATATCAAGAAGTAACAGATATGTAGTCAAGTAGAAATCTTTTATTTAACTATCCATTAAATGACTATTCACATTTTAATATTAATATAGAAAGCTTTTGATTCAAGCAATAATTTATTGCATTCAAGGTTTCATCATCATTTCGTATGGTATCCTCATATAATGTGACGTTAACTTAATAAAACTAATTACTTACACCTGTTACTCCCAATGGAGTATAGGCCAACGACCAACATTCTACAACACACTCTCTGCTGAGCCTTCTTTTCTAGTTTTATCCAATTGTTGTTCATTTTTCTCACGTCTGTCTCCATTTCTCGGTGTAGTGTGTTTTTTTATCTTCCTCTCCTCCTTTGTTTAGCCTTGAGGATTTCAAGTGAAAGATTGCCTTTTGACGTAGTTGGATGTTTTCATCAATATGTGTCCTATCCACTTCCAATGCTTCTTCCTGATTTCTTACTCCGTAGGAATCTGGTTTGTTCTCTCCCACAGTAGATTGTTTCAGATAGTGTGTGGCCAATGGATCTGAAGTATTTTGTACAGACAACTGATAATAAACATTTGTATTTTGTGGATGATGGCTTCATTGGTTCTCCAAGATTTCGCTCTATAGAGTAGAACTGCTTTGATATTTATATAAAAAATTCTGACTTTGATGTTGTATGACAGTTGTTTTGAGTTCCAGATGTTATTCAGTTTTAAATATGATGCAGCAAAACCTCCGCTTGGTGCCCCTCTTGGCCTATTACCTGTCCAAAGCCCGAATAATGATGGAGGGTTATTGGGATAGTGCTAACCAGAAAAAATAATTCAAATTATTTAACGTAATAAAATAGTCACTAGAAATAAAAGTACGTATGAATAGAACCGATTATAAACAAAGTTCATTAGAATAAATAAATACTTGTAATTTATTTTTATTGTTTCATAAAGATTACTATCTAGAATAATAATGAATATTTCACAATTCAACTATTGACCTGAACAATGTTGAAATATTCCATACATTCTGATCCGTTGAACTAAGAAGAAAAATACTGAATAAAATGAATTCATTATATAAATTTTACATTAGTTATATTATTATACAAATTTTTTATTACACACCATATTCAATGAAGTTCAGTTGGTGAGATTACGGTTTATGAACAACATTTGCGTAACGTTAAAATGACCTTGGAATGTCCATCTTAAATGAAGGTTCTAGATTAGTATAGGCAATTAAGATTAGGATTTACAATTGATGGTTATGGTTAGGAGTTCAATTTAGGGCTTTCATCACGAACTAACATCCACTATAATATCAAAATGGTATTTAACCAAAATCCAAGACTTGCTAACTAAAATCTAATTGACTTGTCTATAAATGATCATTTTTCCATTTATTTAAAATGTAAACGTATACATGGCATCATTATTAATCACTTTTAATATTAGAACGAAACGACCGTTCAGTGCTTCCAGGTTTTCCATGGTGATCTAGCTTCGATTGACTCATGATTTCAATCAGTGAAATTTCTAAAAAAGATTAGTTCAGCGAAGAGTTTTCTTTTCGGTGAATTCATTTTCAAAGCTGTACACTTGGAAATATATGTACTTATTTTTACAAGATGATAATAATACTGATAATGAACTTCTGTCAGACATGGGGACAGTGAGGTTAAATAAACAAAGGTAATAAAAACATTCTTTTAAAAAACAAGGAAAGTTTAATAATCATTTGATTATTAATGGCTAAAGTATACATCAAAAAATAGATTGGAAAATAATCAACGGGAAAGGATGGCTCAGCATGATAAGATAAAATGTTGAGATTGATATTAAATGTGATCAGAATGATCGTGGAAACAAAATAAACCAATTGGGGGTAGAGGATTTAAGTTGAAGATGGAAGGTGAAGCAGATGCCTGTAAAGGAAGAAGAGTATGAGAAAGAGAAAGAAAATTATAAGACATTAAGTCTATGGTAGAAGAAGAGGTTGTACCAGTCTCTTATGCACACACAAGTCTGGTTTTCCCAGATCTATGGCTATTGCTTAGGCAATGGTAAGAAGATGCAATATAAACTGTCTTTTGGAAACTTCTACTTACCTTGTAGATGATTTTAAAAGCAGAGTCCGTCTTGATTAAGTGACCTGTGTTTACAACGTATTCGATTATTGAACTTCTTATTGAGCCGTTGCCTCCTCTTTTTAGCCACGCGGGACAATTTTCTTGAATTCTTTTAGATAAAGTACGCATCGAACGACCTATATACCTAGCTCCACAAGAGCAGGTAAATTGGTAAATGCACATTGAATTGGTCAGATGAGATAATTTATTATTATTAAGATATTATTAAGTTGCTTTTTCTACTAATGGGAACCCAGCTGTGGAAACTTAATATTTGGCCATTCCACATGGATTTCCTGTAGATAGATCTTCTTTAAAAAAATATATTCTAGTTTTAATTAATTCCTACAAGACTACCTTCCATTTGACTTAATATTAAAGATTTATTAATTAAAATCTGTGAATAGTGAATTAATTGTCGAATATATTATATTGTAATATACGTAACAAATAATCATATTCCAAATGTTTTTTGTTCATACCTCATGAATCAGTTATTTTGACCTATGAAATTATTTTTATGTGGATGTATCGATGTACAATTTACATTTTTTAACAATGATCAATTACGTTTTGTGCTAGTGTTGTTACTTTTTGTATGTTTGCTTGTTTGTTTGTGGTTGTTTATTTGATGATAGCATTTGTGTTAAATTCTTATACCCGTCAATATATATATATATATATATATATATATATATATATATAATAACAGTCCATAAATAACTCCTAGTAGTTACGTACCTGGACAGTATCATCAATGAACGAAGAGGATCTGATGCAGACGAACAGTCAAGGATTGGCAAAGGAAGGGTCGCATTCTTACTATTGAAGAATACATACAACTGTCAACCAATATCAAAGTCACAATCTTCAACACGAACGTCCAGACAGTTCTAATGTGCGGAGATGAAACCCTGTGAACTGCTACAACCATCAAACATCAAAACCGTACAAGTATTTCTAAACAATTATATACCCATGACAGTCAATGTCCATTGACCGGATACCATTAACAACAGACTACTATCAGAGTGAACAAAACAGCTTCCAGCTGTGGAGAAAATTAGGAAAAGACGTTAAAAGTGGAAGGGACACACATTACAAAAGTCATCAAACTGCATCACGAGGCAAGCCCTAACTTGGAATCGTGAAGGGAGACGGAAACGTGGAAAGCCGAAGAACACATTGCGTCGAGAATTAGAAGACATGAAAAGGATGAGTAGGAACTGGGAAGAAGTGGAAAAGATTGCTTGGAACAGAGTTGGATGGAGAGTGCTGGTGAGCTGCCTATTCTTCTCTACATAGTTCTTAGTCTCTCAATACTAAAATATACATGGGCTTATAAGAAGAAGGAAATATTGAGTAAATATACTCTACGATAATATGTTGCTCACTTATCGAACTTTAAGCGATATATCACAAATGATTTTCATAATAAATTGAAGTCAACTGTATAATTTTTGAGAATTTGAAGAAGATTAATTCATGTCTTTGTTCTACTGAGATGTCATACCATGTAAGCTCAGTCAATTGGAAATACTAATGATGCGTACCAATGATACTGAATAACGGCTACGCTCTATAATTAACTAGATAAAATTGTTAAATATAAACCTATAAGTTGCGAATAAACGACTGAATTGTCTCGTACTGATCTGGAATCCTATTGCTTTTGAGCAAACTTGACTTTAAAACAATATAATAACTAATCACAAACTTTGAAAACACACTTGTTCGATGCTTAAACTATTCTACTTGCGAATCCAAAGATGACCAATTATCAATCCTTCTCTGTTTCTTTTCCATTAGTAGGTTGCCTCTTACCCTGTGTAATAAATAACTATATACATGCTAGATTCTTATCTTCAACGCTTAGACCTTACAATATAAATGTATATATTTTTTCAAATATAAATTATCTACTTAATAATGTTACATAAGTAATTTAATAATTGAATTCATGAGTCATTTGAAGCTAGACCTGGAAGCATTGGATGGCCGTTACATCCCATGATAGGATTCCTCCACAGTGCACCCCGCACGACTTCGCCCCACGGGATTCCAGCTCAGGACTCGTCAGTCTCGTGTCCAACGGTGTTAATGTCTAAATTCAAGGAATCTACTAAATCGAGCCACCGTTCACCATTATCATCAGTGACTTACCATCTTACAACAGACATTGTATTAGATTAAATATAGAAACATTATTCTTTTCCCTCTGTGATAATTTAATCGTTCTTTTTAAATAGTTGATAATTTACTCAAATGATACCAATTATTCTTATTGCTAATATTATTATTATTATTAGTAGTAGTAGTAGTAGTAGTAGTCGTAGTCGTCGTCGTAGTAGTAGTAGTAGTAGTAGTAGTAGTAGTAGTCGTAGTCGTCGTCGTCGTCGTAGTAGTAGTAGTAGTAGTAGTCGTAGTCGTAGTAGTCGTAGTCGTAGTCATGGTCGTCGTCGTAGTAGTAGTAGTAATAGTAAGTATCATCTTAAAATCTTGACTAGTTGCTTTAAAAACATCAATAAACATGGATAAACAAATTTACAGATAAACATTATCATATTTTAAAAGTTATTCTTGAATTCCTCTTAATAGATTTGTTTATTTAAACTTTGTTTACATAATAATAATAATAACAACATTGAACAGAAAATTAGTAAACAGCTGTTTATAGATTATATTTTAACAATATATATATATTAGTTTCTTACTGAACTGTAAATAACAAATACAGGAAATGGTCTTATACAAGCATATAGAGATGTATTATGTACACACACACACACACCAAACACACATACATTAATTATATGAATTTCTTGGAAAAGCATTATATCGGTTTATTTTTATAAAACAAATCATAACAATAATCATATTAAGTAGTATAGAACTGTCTCCTTTAACTTATGTAATCAGTTGTTTTATACATTAGCTATATCTCTGTTTTATTTATTATGTCATTTTTATTTCATATGTTTATTATCTTCTATTTACTTGAATGGAAGTGAACAATTTCAAATTGTTTCTATATTAGTATTCAAAAACAGAACTAATGGGAAGTTTAAAAAAAATATTTTGGTGTATTTACATGGTACTTTTTTCAATAAATAAATACATACATAATATAACGAGGTCAAGGTTTGTTTTTATTATCAGAAGGGGTTTTGTGGACATTTTAGTAATTTCAGCAGATGAAATCATGAGTCAATTGAAGCTAGACCATCATGGAAAACCTGGAAGCACTGGACGGCCGTTTCATTCTATTGTGGGACTCCTCATCAATGTGTATCCACGCCCCCGCCTCACAGAATTCGAACCCAGGGGAGACTGATAGGTTTTGGACTGGAATTCCGCGAGGCGGGGTTGTGGATGCGCACTGCTGAAGAGTCTCACAATAGAATGAAACGGCCATCCAGTGCTTCCAGGTTTTTCATGATGGTCTAACTTCAATTGACTCATGATCTCAACTATTTGTTTTTATTCCAAAATTTCACGAGAAACAATCTTAAAATAATGTAAACAAAGTCATTCAATATTGAATTAATTGATGACAATAAGGAAATAGAATAAACAAACAGTTGTTGATTTTAAAAAAAATTATTCTTATTTAATCAAAGATTTTTTTGAAAGTCGATCCTTAGTTTGATCCACAAAAAATGAACTTGGATATGTGCAATCAAGGAGTCTTATGAAAAAAAAAATATATATTTATATATATCCCCTTTCGGCACAACTATTTCATGCTTGTTTAACACACCTGTAATTTTGGATATCTGTGTGTGCTCCCATAATAAACATAATCAACACTTCGTATTCGCCTTGTGATTAATATACCTTTGGGGCGTTATCTAGTGACGGTTATCAAGAAGAACTGTATACGAAGTTTAAAGATTATATGGAATACCGACCACCACAAGTTATTCACTGGTGCAAATGATGTAAATACAGTTTCAAAAACTGATATCGACAAAAAGGAAATATTCCTCACTGAATGGTCATCATCCTTCTTACTGATGTAATTTTCCGTCACCATTCAATTGGTAATATGAGCATATTAATTAAAGTGTTGAATAAAAAAATCACCAATTAGAAGAGATCTAGTCCAAAATAGATCACAACTGTTTTCAACCAACTTTACTCACTTACTTACTTAACCCTGTTACTCCTCATGGAGGATCATAGGCCTCCCATCAAAATTTTACATCCAACCCTGTTCTAAGCAATCATTTCCACTTCTTCCCAGTTCCTACTCATCCTTTTCATATCTGCCTTTAATTCTCGACGCACTGTGTTCTTTGGCCTTCCACTTTCCCATTTCGCTTCACGATTCCAAGATAAGACTTGCCTCGTAATTTCCGTAATATATGTCCTATCTAATTCCAACATCTAATTTCCTCTTCAACTAGAAGCTTTTCAACCAACTTAGTGAAACAAAAGCAATCATAAATATGTTGTTCGAAACCATGTTTTCAGAATGATTTATTAATTCGGTAAAATATATATTCATACCATTTTAGCATCGATAAATTTATTTACCAGTTTACAGGTTTATTCAAAAGTAATTACACTGGCAAGATAGAAAGGAGTTTGTTTGTTATTATTTTGAAGCACGTTCTATAAAAATTAAGACCAAAAGGTCAACATGTTTTCCACAGTATAACTGATGGTCATCTGATTGATAGTGGAAAGTATGATGATATTTGGAAATTATTCAAAATAATAAATACACAAACAACTTTCAATTTACCTCGCTACATCTAAACCAAACATATTAAAAAGCTGAAACCTGTATTCAAAAAGATAGCTGTAACTTTTCATTTACCCTGGTAACTTTTATTTTTTGTGATTCAATTACGTTATACCTTATTTTGTTTTCCCAATAAGAAACCCCTTTCCTTCTTTTTTAAGTCATTTTCTAGGTTCACTCATCTGATTTTTTGGCTATCACTATGGGAAAATACAAGCCAAACAATATCAAGTGAATTCAAATTCCCTCCATTGCACAAGCAAGTGACTATCAGGACTCAGTAGCTGAGTGGATAACGCGATGGCGTTTGAAGTGAATGGTACTGGGTTCGAGTCCCAGAGTGAACATCAACTCTGAGATGCAGGTACATCCAGCTGACGAGTCCCAAATAGAACGAAATGCGCGTCCTGGATACCATCACCAGCCACTATCCATCTTTGCTTACAAATAGCTTGTGAATTAAGGTAATATCGAGGCATACGCAGAGTATGCACACAAGCCAATAATAGACTGATCAATTTCAGTCTTAAACCTCAATGGGAAGATACAAGCCAAACAATACCAAGTGAGTATCACTATGTAACTTTGAACTCATCTTTGAGTGTTTTGAAAATTTTCCTCTGCAATTTTCATATTTAGTAACATACATATTTATCTATTTTACTCATTTATAATTCTTTCGTATGATAGAAAATGTACATATCGGTTGTAAATAATTAGTATCACTGTAAAATAAGACAATATCTTTATTAAAAGAAGTTGCCAAGTATTTACATAATACATATTAAATAGCCTTTGATCATCCATTTGCATTTCTCGGTATGTTCTGCAATTTTAACTATTTTCTCAATTGACCATCAAATGTTCTGCCAACGCAGTACTTTTGATGCACTGAAATACTTCACTCTATCCGACAATTGTTGCAACTTCGATGCCGCATTCCGCTACACATTACTTACAAACAACTTTGTGAGTAGCGTTCACCATATCATTGTTTATAGAATGTAAGCGATTAATGATAAACCACGACATAAATGAATTCATTTCATTTTGTTACACTTTTCTGTTCTTGCATAAATCAAATATATATTTATTATACTTTCACTTATAAAATGTAACTAAGGCGTAGGTTTTGATTTTTTTTGCTTCAGAAATTTCTTCTTTTATGTAAACTATCCCCATGAACTAATGACTTGTTGGATTATATACAAATGAACGATAAAACTGATACATCCTTTTATTTTTTACTGGTATAATCACTTTGTTATTAAAACTACAAGGTGTCATATTACAATATTATGTCATAATGAATAAAGCAAGTGTATTCCATTCAAATAAACATTCAAATCAAAAATAATATTAATATGAGTGATACTAAACATTATGAGGGAAAAGAAAATCAAATCAATAAATAGTTTAATAGAAAGTTTTAACATAAGTCAATGAATTCACATTCCTAGTTAAATAGTACCAAATAAAATGAAGGAAAATTAATTGATTTGCTTAATAGTTTAGAGAAAAAAACAGTTTATTTATGATTAGTGTAAGACAAACAGTAAGTAGGAAACTAACATAATGAACAATTATAATAATAACAATAACAATAATAAATTTATATTCTGAAAAATAATAATTACCCAAAAATACGAAGTGTAAATCGTCACAATATTTTCAATATTATCGTTTATTTCATTTTAATCAGTAGACATTTCTTATGGTTAGATTTATTCAGTTAATTTCAATAGTTGAGATCATGAGTTAATTGAAGCTAGACCATCATGGAAAACCTGGAAGCACTGGATGGCCGTTTCACTTTAATGTGGGACTCCTCAGCAGTGCGCATCCACGATTCCGCCCTGAGGGATTCCAGTGCAGGACCTATTGGTCTCACACGTGAACGCCTAACCTCTAAACCACTGAATCGGCGTTATTGTCTAACTTCAATGAATCCACGAAATTGAACGACATATCCACCATTTTCTTCAGTGAGTTACTATCACACAACAAACCCGATTGAATTTCACTGGTAACTGCTTCTCACTAGAACTTCAAGAAATAAAAAAATTAATCATCCATCAAAATCTCTGTGTAAAAAAAATATTTTACCGCATTAGCTTTCATTTAAATATAAAATATGGTTAACGGTGGAATTCAAGACGAAAACTTCATCTTGTTCTAGAACTAATCAAATGGATATAACTTCATCTCAGAGTTGATGATATCTACTTCCAAAAAATTTGAACTCAATATCTTTTGCTTCAAATATCAATATGTTATCCACTTAGTAACTTTTTTCAGATAACCATTCACTTGTATAATCGTTATGAATTTTAATTTAGTTTTTAATAATTTCAATTATTCCCTTATTAATATTTTTAATTAAAATTTTGATTAGTCTATATTGATATTTGCATAATCTGAGTAGATTATAAATTCAATACATTGAATAGTTTATTATTTAAATAAATACCATATTATACTGGAATAACCTTTGATATAAAATTTCTTCAGTTATGTCTCCAAACACCCCCCATTCTACATACTTACTTACGCCTGTTACTCCTTGTGAAGGAACATAGGCCGCTCACCAGCATTCCATTCTACTTAGTTTCTTAATTATTCAACAATATTACTTTTTAATCTTTTGAATCGTTTAAATGTACAATGATTGTAATCAAATTATGGATAGAATATAATACCATCAATTTAAATTTTACGGTATAGTTTGTTATATAATAATAATGAAATTTTTTGAACCCCCAATAAAACTATCAAATTGTTT